GCTGAGAGTATCTTGGTCAACTTGTGGAAATGTAACTGAGTTTTTCAGGCTTTTGCTCTTTTCTTTAATTGTTTTCCTTTTACAGAAGATCAAAATGTAAACATTGAAAAGAGAAGAAAGGCTTAATTATTGATAATCTGTAATTTGTGACTCTCATCGTTTCAAGCTTGAACACAAATGATGAATTGACATTTCTGTCTTGTCTCCTGTATTGTGCTGCTGTGCCTCCCTCCTTTGCCTTCACATGCACATCCCAAGGTCTCTAAGAACCATGTTTACCAAAATCCAGGACTACAAAAAGACACAGGCAGTTTTAGGCTGACAGTTGCAAAACAATCCAACAACCACTGACATCAAGGATTACCTGGAATGAGGGACACATGCTTGGCTTTCTGGGCTTTTTCAAGGAAAAGTGTCCATCTCTGTATGTTGCTCTTTTTCTAAGATGTCACAAGGCTGGGTGTTAGTTACCAAAGTGGTTTTTCTCTGGTTTTTTTTGTGCTTATACAGATTATTGCTTACCAGCCCTACGGGAAGTCTGTGGATTGGTGGGCATATGGAGTGCTGCTCTATGAGATGTTAGCTGGCCAGGTAAGAGTTACCCTCCTGTGCTCACTGTGACCTCTTGCTTCTCCAACCCTGCTCTGTTTCAAGGTTCCTTAAAGGGTTAGACCCTCAGGGGACAGGACTGGAGCCTTTTATACTGATATTTTCTCCTTGTACTCTTGACTGGCTCCACTGAGAATGTATTATGCTTTAAGCTCTTTATACTGCACCCACATAATCAAGCCCTGCCTTTGAATACGGCTTCTTTGTACTGTAATAATGTTATAAATGGCTATCTTCAAAGTTGAATGGGAGGCACTTGAGCAGGAAAATGCATGTCAAATGGAAGAAATACCATTTAGCAGCTTAAAACCACAGGGAAGTATAATAAGAATGTGTATATGTTCTGCATTGCAGTGAAGCCCCAAGAACACAGATTTTGTATTGTACGTCCTGGGGGTGAAGTGTGGGTCTTGAGATCTGCTGCTCCAGACCCCTCGTTCTGCACAGCTAAAGAGACACTGCTCTCTAAGGCACTCAAGTAGAAGAGCAACACTGTGCTGCAGTAAATGGCTGATAACTACCAACTTTCAGGAATTCTGTTAGCCTGGAGTTGGCTAGGTTGCCCCCAGGTGCCTTCAGTGAGCATCAGCTGAAGACGCGCGTTTCCTGGGCTTAAAACACACGTTTAACAAATGCCTTTAATATTTTCTCTACTAAATTCCAGCAGACATTTTAGAAGTTTTTGTAGTGTGGCAAATTACCACTGTTAACATTTGCAGTCTGCATGGCAAATATGGGGCCCCTGGATGTTTTTGAGAAAATGAGGTTTGCCATTAGCTGAACTTCACGTGGTGCCCGTGTCCTGAGGACTCAGCCGTGGGCACTTTCCTCATCTATATTTAAAAATAAAATGCATTTTTGGTGACAGTCTCTCCTTCACAGAAGCAGACTCTACAGCCACATCTCATAAAACAAACCAGAGTTGAACTGGAAGTAAGTGAGGGATAGATAAGCCTTCGCACAAGAGAATTGAAGGTCACAGGCTCCGAACTTCATGCTTTAAAGTATTTTGGCTCTCTGGTGCACAACAGCTTTAAAAACTGATTGAAGGTGATCATTAAGATAATCCTACACATATTTTTTTTAACCTGGCTGCCATGCTGGGAGCAGAAATGAACTTTCTTCTCAATTTCTACCTGAAACTGATAAACACTAAACTTCTGAGTCAAGCTGCATCTGGCTAGGAGTTTGGTGTGTATTCCTGGGCAAGGACCAGTGCTGGGCTGCTGTGATTGATTTGAGGCAGGTTACTGGGCTGGGTGCACCTTTGCCCTGAACCAGTGTGGCCAGTATTGTCATATCATTTCATAAAATTGAAGATTTAAAATTAAAAAAATAATAATCCATGAGTTACTTACCTGTGATTTATTTTCAACAGCCTCCATTTGATGGAGAAGATGAAGATGAACTTTTCCAGTCCATAATGGAGCATAATGTTTCCTATCCAAAATCACTGTCCAAAGAAGCTGTCTCCATCTGCAAGGGGGTGAGATAGATGCTTCTTTATCATTAAGTTCTTTTTTGGCAATCCTTGTGAATAACTAGATATGTCTGACATTGATATGGCCCTGTGGTATTTTGAAGTGCATCTTCTGTCAGGCTGTGCTAAGCTGTATTGTCATGAAGTGCCCATGGATTGGTGACATGGAGTATTCAGCTCTTGCCCCTGTGCCTGCTTGTTTTGTGATAAGAACAAATGTCACAGTCAGTGGCTGCCTAATCCAAAGCAGAATTTATAAACAGGAGGATGGTGTGAAGCATCTCCACCCACCTCGCCCCTCAGCCCTGGGCAACACAACCCTAGTTTTGCAGGGTGAGGAGGTTTCTCAGCTTGGATGGATACCAGATCATCCAGCAGGTTCTCAGCTCAGTGTGCCTAATGACAGCAACAGAGCAAAAGAGTTAATAAGAAGCATTTTAAATGTAGGTAAAGATGAGCTTAGATGAAAATCTTTAGCATCAATGTGAAGAACCTGTGGGGAAATCCTTACACAGCAATAACTGCTGTGACCTAAAATTTATCTTAGAGTCTCAGTTATTTATTGTATTATATTTTATTTTTTTTACTCCAGGGGATTAGCCAAATTAAACAAAAAAATAAATCATTTGACTTTCTTTTGACTGTGTGATTCCCTAGAGTACTGTCAGCCTGCAGCTTTTCCATCTGTAATATGTTATTTGTTGTCTTACTTATACTGATCAAATATCACTGCACTTAGTGTCAGTTAATTTGGTATTTACTTCCCTCCTCTCCTTTGCAACCATTTATGAAGCACTGTACATGAGCTGGATATTAATCCCCAAGGATTAATATCCCATCAAGGAAAAGAAAAGCTGTTTAGAACAAGGTAAAAGGAAAGACCAGTCTGGTTTTTGAGACTCTCCCAGGGCAGACATGCTGACCAACAAAAACCAAACATACATATTTGTGAAGAATGTGCAGGTTGATGCCTTGCCATGAAAACCATTTATTCAACCAGCACAATCTGAACTTGATCTAATTGTTTGCAGCTCTCCTGCTTGCTGTGGTTCTGGTGGGTGCTTCCTCAAAAGGGGGATCAGCAAGTTCAGGCTGCTTTGTCCCACTGGGCTGAGCTCAGATCCCTGTCACACTGACATGTTCATCCTCTGTATGAAACTAACAAATAAATCCCGAGTTTCAGGGAGCTTTTTACCTGAGCTCAGTCAATCTGAGAAAGCTTCTGTACCTTGTGGACAGCAGAGCTCAGCAGTCCTGAGGCTGTGCACTGTTGGGCAAGAGGAACATGATCTTGAAGTGGAATTGTCTGCTTGGCATCTGTCCCACTGGCTCCCAGTTTGGTGGATTGGGGAAATGCAGCAACTTTGGAAAGAATTGAAACTACTAGAATAATTATTCATTTTTTTTCTTATATCATCTACTGTTAAAACAAAGGGTTTAGAAAAGGCAAAAAAATAGGCAAGTGGCTGTTAAGCTGCAAGCAGGATGTGATTCCATGCCCAGAGCTCAGCCACCTTCCCAAAGGCTGCTTAGAGTCACTTTTATTTTAGCTTCAAAATTGGAATCTGATCAACTCAACATTTGGAAGGAGACTAAAGCAGTAGAGCTGAGGTTTTTAAAAGTTGTGTTAGGTATCAGTCCCAGCAGGATGCTGATCACACATAATTTGTAGAAGAGCTTTAAAAAATCCCCACAGTGCTGGAACTGAGAGTTGAAGGCTACACTGCTCAATTCCTAGTGAACATATCACTTGAAAAGATTTGAGGAGCTTATTGATTAGGGAGCACGTTGCTGTTTCCAGACATGCAGCACTGGTGAGTTCAGAGTGGCTTTTTTCCCCAAGTCTGCTTGATCTGTGCAGCTGGGCCTGGCATTGACCACAGATGTCATTAGGGACACAAGGGAGGAAAGGCAGGTCAGATATTGTCAGCTGGGTGCCAAGAAATTGTGGGCTCTGTAATGAGATGTCTTGAACATGCCCAGGAAAATGAAAGCAGGGGGGATGGACTTCATGCAGCTTCAGTATATTGGAATTTATTAAGTGTAAGTGGTTGTTGAGGTAGGGCAGAAGCTGTTCTGGGGATCGATAGGACTGAATGGAAAGATCACAGGCAAAATTCAGGAGTTGTGAACTACTGGGATGGCAGAGTGTCCTGGGCATCTCTGCCCACCCTCACCTCCAGCCCAGCCTCTGCCCAAGGGGACAAAGCTCTCAAGTGCAGCCCACGATTCTCCTGCTGATCTGCTGTCTCACATGCCCAAACAAGAAAACTAATATTAAAAATAATAATAATTTTAGCTTTTCAAAACATTTTTTTTAGCAACTTGCATCTTCTGGAGAGGAGCAAGAGCACTGCAATCTGGCCAAAGTCTGTCTCACTTTTATTGCAGCGTTAAGTTTAAGCATTTGGTGTTCTCTTCCTAATAGCTGATGACTAAACATCCTGCAAAACGCCTTGGCTGTGGCCTCGAAGGTGAGAGAGACATCAGGGAACATGCTTTCTTCAGGAGAATTGACTGGGAAAAACTGGAAAACAGAGAGATTCAGCCACCTTTCAAACCTAAAGTGGTGAGTGAGCTGCCAAGTACTTCCCTTGCTAAATGTGTCTGCAAGTTGTGCCTTCCCATGGGGTGAGATTAATGCTGGCTCAATGGTGCTGCCAATCTGGGGCACTTCTAAAATAAGGCAATTTGATTATGGCAGACCAGTCTGTAAATCTGCTCGTGGTTGGCACCCTGGTGCATAACTCAGTGTACTTTGTTCCTTGTGAAAAAGTCTCTGGGTGGTTTGAGTCCTGACTGGGCAGTCACACACCACGTGAGAAGTTGGAAACAGGGAAAATGGGCATGTTCACATTGGCCTCGTGAGACCTTTATGTGAAAAACACAGTTCCCAACTGGCTCCTCTGAACAGCATCTGAAGTCAATGATTAGAGGTATCTGAATTTCTGCCCAAGGCAGCAGGAGGTCTTGCAGCTCAGCTCAGATGGTGTGTCCCAGTCCAGGTGCTTTGCAAGGAGTCTGGAAACTGTCCCTGAGCTGTTTTCAAGGCAGCCAAACGTCTCCCCCTTAATGGCTCCTCTTTAGGTGGCTTCTGCTCTAAATGGTGCATTCATGGTACATTAGTTCAGAAAAGTCAGTGTTTAATATTGCTCTGTTGTACCAGCCATCTTCTACCCTCTCCAAGTTATGCTCTGAACCTGAAGATAATAGTGCAAAGTTCTCCTCTCTGTCCAGCTGTAGATGTAGTTGTGAACAACTGTGTGACAGTGGAGCTGTTCTGTGGGGCTGGGCAGAGACGAGAGGGTTGGGGACAACAAGAGCTGTTCAGTGCCTCTATCACACAACCACATGTTATTCAAGATCTGTTCCAGTGGATAGTTTTGAGATGAGCAGGTTCTTTAGACCTCTCCACAATATCCAGTGCTGAGTTTTTCTCCAATATGCAGTTTTTCTTGCACCCAAGCTAATTTTGTTCTGCCCACCCCCTTCATGCTTTTAACCTGCCTCTAATCACACTCCCCTGCCTTGAAAGTGTTTTCTGCTTTACTCAGAACTGTCCTTTCTGGATTGACAAGAGTTTATAGGCTGTACAATGAAGACTTAAAAGCATATAAATTAATTGCATTAAGCTTCATACAGATTGTGATAGAAACTGAGACTAACAGGAAATTTTAATTGTGTACTGTAAAGGTTTTAAGAAGGATGAAATTACTTGACAGGTGAAGTGTCTCTTGCCAATACATGTCCATCAAAATATTGTCTTTTTTTCTTCTTTTATTCCAGTGATTCTGAATATTTAAGCTTCTTTAGCTTGTCACCTCCTGCTGATGGATGGAGGTTTTATCTGGTTTTCATCTATTAAAACTTCTCTGTCTGCCTGGGGTTTTTTTTTTGTGATAATACCTGAAAAGAAAATTTTCTCTTAGCTGCTTATAAGAAATGAGGGAACATCTTGCATGTATCCTGAAAACTCTGCAAAGAGCTGCACCTGCCAATGAATTGCTGATTTTTTAAAACTTTTTTTTCTCTGTTTTCCTTTCTTCCAGTGTGGCAAAGGTGCTGAAAACTTTGATAAATTCTTTACACGAGGACAGCCAGTGCTAACACCTCCGGATCAGCTGGTCATTGCTAACATAGACCAAACAGATTTTGAAGGGTTCTCTTATGTCAACCCCCAGTTCATCCACCCCCTACCAGAGAATGTAGAGTGAAATGGCAGAACAGGAACAAATCCCACGGTGGGGAACGCTCCTTAACCCTACAATTTTTAGGCTTTTGCCTTGTCGATTCCATTTGGGCCTGGAAATTGTAGGGTTAGCAGGTGTAAGATGGGGGGAAAGGCCACTCCTCCAGGATTTTGGCTTTGCAACAGTGATGTTGTCTTAATGGGAGAGAAATTACTGTACGGTGCCCACTTGATCTTCTAGAAGTCACCACTGGCTGGCCTAAACTTACCCGTTTTATGGTACGTTATATATTTTTGTAGCTTCCCTCTGTCCTTCTGCTCCCTTTTCCACTCTGCTGGGTTAGAAAGAATCTAACATGTGGTCTGAAATAAAAACCCCACCTTGGATACTGAGTCCTTCAGTGCGGATGCTGGGAGGTGGGGCTGCTGCTCGAGGCGGTGACCTCGGGGGCACGAGGGGCAGCACTGGGGAGGAGAGGCATTGCCAGAAAGTGGTTGAAAGCAATTGCTTTGAAAACATGACAGAAACAAGCTGGGAATGGGGTGGGGGGGAGGATAAAATCAGATTAGACCCTGAGGCTCCATGAACCAACCCGTAGGCAGCGCCAAGTTTAAACCCAGGTGGCCAGATCTCCAGGATCTTTGCTAAGTAGCATGTGGTCAACTCCAGGGTGAAATTTTGTCTATAATAATAATAGTAATAATTTTAATAATAATTTTTGTGAATTTTAATCTCCGTGAGATTATTCTGTGATCCAGGGTGCCATTGTTTGTTCAGTTCATTTAACTTACACCGCTCAAGTTTACTGGTAAACCGGTTCTAACACCAGTTCGTTAACCTGGAATGTAAAACAAAACCATATTCCCTTAAATCTTCTTTCCACGTGTTTAATTTTAGTCTGTAGTGTAGGGCAGTAAATGGAAGAAAGCATTATTATACAAAATTAACCAAAAATGCAACCCCAAGTGACTTCCTGATTTCTCCAGAATAACTCATGAAAACCAAGTGAGATTTAGTCTTAATCAGTTTTAATTCCAAAAACTTTGGGCTGTAGAATAATCAAGCCTGAAAGAAGCAGCACCTAAAACTTGTTTTATTGGTAGAATGGAATTTAATACATTTTACATATGCTTCATGCAATGAATTTTGCATGTTTTCTAATAACTCTTAATACTAAGGGTTAATAATAAGTGGATCTATATTATTGACATAATCGTATCAAGCATAAAGAGTATTATAAACATTTTATAAAACAAATTGTGCTCTTTTTGTGAAAGTTCTTGTTCTGAATGACATAATTTAGATTCAGCTTAATGTCTCATGGCTATTGTTTTGGTTTTTACTTTAGGTTTTGGATATTGTTCACAGCTTAGGGTATAGTCTCTTTTTTAAAAAGGAGATCTTTTAAACAATAGTTGCTACCTGCAGGTTTTATATGAGCTTCTATTAGGCTTTCATTTCATGTCTGCTTATTACTTACAGAGAAGGAAATAGACTTTATTTGAAATGATGAACCCTGTAATTAATGCAATCTTCTCCTCTCCTATCACTTAGAGAAAAAAAAAATAATAAATGGATATTTCCTCTTACGACTTAACCAGAAAACATTAATTCAAATATCAGTTAAACAAAATTTGTGCATATTTTATTTTGTTACAGCATGTAAAAGAGTAGTCAGTGCATTTTCCTTTTTTGTTTCCCTTCTGCCTTGTTGCTGTTAGCAGCCATAGGCACTTTTTTTGTCTGTCAGATGTGCATGACAATGCCAGAAGCATGATGTCTCTGTTGCTGCATGCAGCCTGATTACAATTTTTCCAGCATGTAAACATATTCAAAAAGTAAGATATTTGCCATAAAAGACTTAAATTTATACTAGAATGTGTGACTGGGGGGGAGGGGGGGATCCCAGGGAGGGAATCTACTTTCTGATCATCTTTTATGACAATAAAACATGGAACCTGTGCCAAAGATTCTGTTAGGAAGGTCCAGCCCTGCAAATTGGTAGCCAAGGGGATGGGTTTGGCTCACAGGGCTGACCCACGGGGGAGTGGGGTAGTTTTTAGTGGTTGGATGTGAAAGGCATCTGTGTGGTGCCTCAGCACACAGGGTGCCCTCAGGCCCCCTTTTTTTGGTGCCTGGGATGTGATTTGTGACACTCCAGAGGTTTGGCTTTGCCTTGTTCAAGTCCTTTGGCCGCCCCAGCTCTGGGAGAGGAGCATCCCCCAGGGAAGGATGGGCAGGCCTTAATGACACCCCAGAACAGGCAAGCACGTGGCTAATGAGGGCACTGAGCAGCTCCCAGGAACTCAGCCTGTTGCCTGAATAAACAGAACTCCAATTTTAAAGACATTTTAGAAGTAAAACCTTTACACTATTCTGTGTCAAATACGTTATCAGCCAGTTCTGGGAGTTCATTTTCTTGTTTGTATAGTTATATATTTTTAAAATGATGGTATTCACCATGAAACGTGGATTGTGCAGCATTCATGACTATTTATGTGTTTCTGAATATTACTAGCCTGCCATAAGTTTAGGGAAATCTAAGTACTGTGCTCTAGAAGAAGATAGATTCAACAATTATTGAGGGTCAGATTTTGAATAAGTAAGGGGCTCTCAGGTAAGTCAATGTGCTGGGTGGCAGCATTACAAGTGTTTCAGGAATGTGGAGCAAAAAAAGAGACTTTTGAAAAAGGAAAAGGCAAGGAGAAATACCAACACACAGGTTTGTGTGGTAAGAAATTTGGTTCAGGGGCAGGGTTAACCCAAGCCAGAAGCAGGCAGGAGATCCCACGTGTAGACATTCCCAGACGGCTCTGGTTTTCCTGGTGAATTGTGGAGGGAAGTCCTGTTGCAGGCTGTTGTTGCTCGCACAGCCATGAGGGATGTCACCAGAACAGGCCATTAAAGAGCTGGTCCAGCATCTGGGCAGGGCTGCTTATTTCCTGGCTACTTCTCATAACCAGTGTCTTAGACACTTGCATTTGCTCCCCAGGTTTTCTGATGTAGAAGCAGAAATTCCTCTTTCACATTGTTATCTCAAGCCCCTGGGCTTGTGACAGCTCGTGTCAGCTGCTGCAGGGTCTGTAATGCTTGCAGAAAGGGACTGTGAACTGCTGGGTCCTGCAGGAGCAAGACAGGGTTGTACAAAGCAGGGACTGAATATTTGTGTTACTCCTCATCACACTCCCACGTGAACCCTCACGCTTGGATCAGCCCTTTACTGGCATTCCAGGTGGATGGTTTATCATCCAGAAATTTACAGTGGCCAGTAAAACCTTAAGTATCCAGCAAACATGTTTGCTTCTCTTTTTTTCTTTTTTCTTTTTTTTTTCTTAATATAGATGTTATTTCCATAATAGTTTTCACAAGATCTGGCTTCCTAGAGAGCATGGATCAACAGGCATTGGAACTGCTTGTCTTTCATTTGTGTTCAATAGCAAACCCACACCTTGTCACAAGAAGTCAAATTGAAAAGAATAATGCACTGAGGCTGGGGAGGGGGGAGTTTCAGGAGCTGTGTTTCCATTCCATGTGCACCTGAGTCCTGAGGGGCTCTGGAGTGGCCCTGTTCCTGCTGGGGGAAGGCACAGCTCTGCCACATAAAGCTTCCAAGCTGTTTTCAGGGATTAAATGGGACTTCACTGGCTCCAGGCAGATTTTTTCATTATTTGGGCATCTGGGTGGTTTTTTTCACCTTCGAGTCACTTCAGCAGGTTGGTGGGTTTCCAGGCCAGCCACTTCACCTGCTGCCCAGTCCCAGTGCTCCTAGCAAGGATTGCTCATACTTGAGAAGGAGAGAGCACATTCCCATCATAAAATTCTCCCCCTAAATGTAATTTAGAGAAGAAATGCTATTTAGCTTTCTGCTCCTTCATTCTTTCCAGAAATACAATTGAATTTCCTTTTACAAACTGAAGAAAGTTCTTCTGGAAATCAGCTGTTAGTTTAAAAGCAGCTCATCATATCTGAATGCTGTTGGCCTTTGGAATCCGTCCTGGTTTTGGGGTGGATTCAGTTGAATAATGATGGGCTCCTGTCAAATTAATAAGGTCAAGGTAAAGCAAGATGACATGTCCAAGGGCTGGGACTGAGTGGTACCACTTGTAGAGTCTGTTTTCTGAGCCAGTGCATGCAGATGCAATCCCAGCTCAATGCCATGGGAGAGGCAGGCAGCAGAGGGGGGAGATGCTCCTAATTTAGCAAAGCAGATCATTGGAAATAATCATCATCACCATCCAATTTAGAAGCTTTTGTATAAGTACCAAGCATATTTACAGCAGTGGGTTTACAGTGAGCTTTCTGACCTGCCACGAGACTTCTGGCAACATTTATTGTGATTTTCATTAGTCATTACCATGAGTTACTGTATGTAGGTTTGTCCCTTGGCTCACCTGAGAGCTGGCTCTGGGTGCTGTGTTCTCCCTGTGCTGTCAGTAGGTGCTGAGGCAGGTGCTGAGCTGCCACCTAGCACAAAAATAGACAAGATAAAGCACTTTCTTTCCTTGGCTCCACACTCCTAGATGGGATCTGAAATAGTTCAGTTGAAGAATTAAATAAGAATTGACTCCATAAACACCTATGAGCTCATACCAACCAGTTACTGTGCCAGTAATGACTGGTAATTAAATAGCCTTATAATGAATAACCATCATGCACTACAGCCCTCCTGTTCTAGGAAACCCTTGAGAGAGAGAGGGCAAGTTATTAACCTCTCTGCCTCAGTTACCTCATCTGTAAAATGAGGATAATAATACTTACTTACCTCACAGGGAGGTGTGAGGCTTTCTTAGTTCATGTTTCTAATACACTTTTAACCTGAGAAAAGTTGTGTAAGTATTATTATAATTTTTAATATTAAATCAGCCTATTCAATTCACATGGTATTACTGGATGTACCATGTTATTTCTACTTTTTTATAGAACTTTAGTAATTCTGCTGAAACCATTTAAAGACAAAATCAGATGGGGTACATTTCTTTCAGAATCTGGAGCCCAGCTTTTGTGACCTGGAGTCAGGGGGCAGT